TATTAATTAATTTCAATTTAATGATATTTTTTACAATTTAACATAACTTTGTATTTTTTACTTGTATTCACAATTCTATGAAACTTTTATATTTAAACTTTAATAACATTTCTATAATAATAATTATCAACGAAAAGAAGCGAAAATCTGAAGACAAGTAAAATTACAATCAATAAATCCACTTTGAATGTTTAATTCAAATGTACTGTAATAAATATTTAATAATTTGTTTAAATTAATGTATTATGTATTTTACCAACTATTTAAATTGTATTAATGTATATTTAAGGATTTAGTTTATCAACATTATGTATGTATCTTAGAAATTATTATTTAAGTTAGGATAGAACATTATGTTCGACCATAATTTATCACATATTGATATATTTCTACATGCAAATTTTATTGTCAAGATTGCTGTAATAATAAAAAGGGGCAACGGGAATTTATTTTGGGGAGAGTTTGAGAGTACGTGTGTCGAGTGAAAATGAGAATACATGGGAGTAAAAGTGAGAATGAGGTATGAAAATGAATGTAAATTTGTGTGCAATTTGGGGATGGTAGTATTTGTGAGGGATGAGTGAAACGAAAGGGTATTTGTGAGTGGAAGAGAGAGAGACATGTGTGCGCATGTATGAGAATGAAGGGGATGCATATGAGAGTGGGGTGAACGTATGTGAGACGAATGCATCAGGGGCTGCATATTTGTGTGAAGTGAGCGTGAATGAGATAGAAGGTGCGTACGAATGTGAATGATGATGAAGAATGACATCTGTGTGTATATGTATCTGAGAGGGAGAGTATGTATGTATGGAATGAAAAAGAGAGTGGTATGAATGAGAGAAATGTATGAGTAGGGAGCGTGTACGTATGAATCAAGAGGGCGAGTGCGTATAAATGAAAGCGAAAGTGTGTATGTATTGAGAGGAAAAGTGCGTATGTGAATCAGAGAGGACGTACCTGTATGTATGAAAGAGAGAGAGAAAGACAGATTGTATGTGTTCGACAGAGTGAATGTGTACGTATGAGAGTGAGAAAGAGAGGATATGCGTGTGCGTATGGGTAAAGGTGTGAGAGAGAGAATGTGCATGAGAGAGAGAATGTGAGGTTGTGTATGCGTATGACTGGAAGAATGAGTGTGTACGAGAGAGAGAGAGCGCGAATGAGTGTATGATTGTATGTGTGTGTGCAAGAGAGGGAGAGAGTGTATGTATGAATGAGAGGGAGTGAATGTGTGTGCGAATGTGTGTGTGTGTGTGTGGGGGTGTGTGTGAGGGAGTGAATGAAAACACGGGGGGAGGGGATATACTACCAAATAAAGACCATAACTCAGCGTACGTGTTTTATTTAAAAAAAAAGACAAAAATGAATTTTTCACGTCTACCAGGTTTAGCGCGGAAGGTTTTTGTGATTCGAAGAGCGTCCGGGACGCTCCCCGAAAACTGGAGCGTCAAAATTCGAACTAGAAGCCCCCCACACACGAAATTCGAAACTTCCAGGATACTAAGTCTCAGAAACTCCAAAATTCGAGCCCCAAAGCCTTCAAAACTGTGGTTTCCCACAGGGTTGAAGGTCTTGGGATTCGAATTTCGAAGTTTCCAAGACTCAGAATCCCGGAAGTTCCGAAATCCCGGGTGTTGGAAGCTTCGACGTTCGAATTCGGACGCTCCAGAACACTCCCGGCCGAAATCACTCGCGACACGCGATGATAACGAAGAGACGGCTGCAGCTGTTCCTGCTGGTGTGGTGGTGATGATCGCACTGCAACAAAAAAATATTTTATTATTACATGTTCATACTATTTAAATAAAATCCAAGAAGAAATATGTTCACAGTCAAATATAAAATCAAGTTACATTTAAATGAAACAATACAGTATAAATTTAATTAGGTGTGATAAATAAAATGAATATTCAACAGTTAGGTATTTTTAATCAGTACAAGAAATAAAAAACTAATTGTTATGTGTATGCAAACTAAAACGTTAAAAGTTTTAAATTTAATATAATTATT